TATTCCCTGAAATAGTTCCCTCACTTTTGTCCCTATTTTTTCATTGATGACCTTCATAATTCTGGGGTTCACATTCAGGTCTGAATCCATGCTGAAGTTGGTTTTTGTATAAGGCGTAAGGTGAAGGTCTTGTTTCAATCTGTTGTATATAGCTTTCCGACAACTGGGTTTTTATGACATAGTGTAAATCAGGGGTCATTGTAGTTAAGTGCCATCAAGTTGATTCTGACCCATAGTGATCCTGTATAGGGTTTCCAAGGAGCAGCTGGTGAGCTTGATCCACCGACCTTGCAGTTCAAATGACTTTGCCGTCTGATGCATTAGTTCACAGCACCATACGGGTTGTTGTTGTTGTTGTGAAGTGCCATCGAGTCGGTTCTGACCCATAGCGACCCTGTGTAGGGTTTCCGAGGAGCAGCTAGTTAGTGAGCTTGACCCGCCAACCTTGCAGTTCAAACGACTTTTCAGTCTGGCACATTAACCCACAACACCACACCAGGAACCTTTTTTCTACTAAGGCCTACTTGGATATTTGAAATATCATTCGTGGATCATACACATTTATCAACATAAAAATTAGCCTGCTATATTTGGTTATTTAATTAACTAGTCCCTAATGTGATGTCTGTGGGAGAAAGATAAGGCTTTCTGCCCCCGTAAAGATTTACAGTAGCCTTGGAAATCCTGTACAGGGTCGCTATGAGTCGGAACTGACTCCATGGCACATCACCACCACCAATGTGATGCTAGAGCTGCGGTTACTTTGGCAGGGCCGGACCAAATGATTTTGTGGGCCTTAATACGTACGAGCTGTGGGCTGGACATTCGAAGAGCACAGAATTCTTCAGTGAAGGATTGTTGTTGTTAAGTTTCATCCAGTCAGTTTTTAACTCAGAGCGGCCCATTATTGGGTTTCTTTCTGAGGAGTGGCTGGTGGGTTTGAACCACTGACCTTGTGGCTAATAGTCTAGTGCTTTATCCTACAACTCCACACCAGGAGTCCTTGGGGATAGGATTAAAACAGTAGAAACACAGCCGTTAGAAGCGTAAGGACCTAGCTGGAGGATGTGTCATGTTGAGAAATAATAGCTGCACATTTGCATCTTTTTGTTTAATAAAGATTTCTATGATTTTTTTAACAAAACTTTTTTTTTTTAAACAGGTTTATTTATAATTGTTAAAAAGTTGAACTAATGAAAGTTGTTCACTGAAATATTTTGACTTGCATTAATGCTTTATGTCCCCACATTTATATTAAAAATTCACACTAATAAAATGAAAAAACTGCCAATATCTAATTTCTGTCCTCTATTTCTCTATTTGCAATCATATACTTAGGTACCTTTGACCCCATGGGGGGAAAAAAATTAACGTTCAGAACTACCAATAACAGGAAGAAGAGATTTTTTAAGAATGAAATGTTTCCCATGATAGTGGATTCTTAAGCACTTTCTCCACATACGCGACATGCTAGCTGCGTGTCTTTTGGCATACTTGTTACACATTTGGCATGGATAGCACACAGGTTGGTGTCTTCAAAAAGGCCAACTAGATAGGTCTCACTTGCCTCCTGCAAAGCACCACTAGTAGCTGCACTCTGGAAGCGGCAATCTGTTTTGAAGTCCTGAGCTATTTCTCGCACCAGATGCTGGAGAGGAGTTTAATTCAGTGATAACATCTAATTTTACTAAGCGCCACAGTCCCAGGCCTGTAACAATAAGGTTTCTTCACCCCTCCAATAGAGGGCGCACTCTTATGAGCGGCTTTTGTATCCAGTTGCTTCCTGGGTGTTTTCCCACCGGTTGATTTGTGGGCAGTCTGCTTTGTAGGAGCCATGGTTTAGAGACCTCATCACTTAACTCCACTTCTCCTTCAGCTGGAGCTTGCGTCAGCGCTGCAGCTGCTGTGAACACAATTGAAAGATGGCCGACACCCACAGTCATACCTTTTGACTTACCATCGTACCATTAATGTTTTTCGCAGTTTCTGGTCGATACCTTTGTCACTTTTACCCTACTGACCGGATCTTTTTAAATACCTGTGTTTTGTAATTATTTTATTATGGTTTCCTTTTAGTCTTTCCCCTCAGGTTTCGCTTCCTCAACCTAAACATTTTAATGTTTCCTGTGGTTCCTCGCTCAGCCCTCTTACTCTTTTCTTCTTCTTGAGCAGTAGTTACATGTACCACTAGTCTTCTGTGTGTCCTTTATGCATGTCTCCCAATCTAACACTGAGCTCTGCACTGAAGTTTTCATGTTTAGTATTGAAACTAACACACGATGTTGTCATGGCTAGCAGAATATGCATGGAGCATAGATCCAGCCATTGTGGTAGACCATGTGAGTACATGGTAGACTGATAACGCAGGAGAAGGGTTCAGGACACTGGCTCCCAGACCCCTGCTCACCCCGATCTGCCCTCTGCCCTGACTCCAGCTAGCCTGCCTTCCCCACCCTGGCCACCAGCCCTGAGCTCTGACTCAGAAGTCCCTCACTTACGTTGTTAGCCTCTGCATCTCAGTTACCTCTGCTTGAAATGCCTTCCCCCTATGCCAGCCTGGCAGAAGAGCCCGGGTGTTTGGACAAATTGGGATTCACATGCTTTTTTTTTACTGGTGCCAAGCATATTAAGATATGGCCCTTCCCATGTTCTGCTTAAGAAATAAAAGCTGTAATTTGTCTCCTAAGAACAGGTATCATTTGACCCTAATAACTTACTGATATAAGGAAGCCTGGTGGTGAAGGGTCAGCACTTGGCTGCTAACAGAAAGGTCGATGGTTTGAACCTGCTAGCAGTTGTGTGGAAGAAAAGACTTGGTGATGTGCTTCTAAAACATTACCGCCTAGGAAACTGTGGAGACAGTTCTCCTCTGTCCTAAAGGGTAGCTCTGAGTTGAAATCGACTCAAAGTCACATAGCAATGTGTGTGTGCAGACGAGGAGGCTTTGAAAAGTATATGTTGTTATTGTTGTGTGCCATGGAGTTGGTTCCAACTCATAGCGACCCTGTACAGGGTTTCCAAGGCTGTAAATCTTTACGGGCACAGAAAGCCTCCTCTTCGGCGTAACAGCAGGTAGTTTCGAACTGCTGACCTTAAGGTTAACAGCCCGATTCGTAACCACTATGCTATATGCATTGTAAGTGCATGTGTATATACTCCGGGCCGCTATATACATGCTGTTAAGTGCCACTGAATTGGCTCCAATTCATAGTGATCCTGCACAGGTTTTCCAAGGAGCCGCTGGTGGGTTAGAACCACTAATCTGTGGTTAGCAGTCCAGTGCTTACCCTACAGTGCCACCCAGAACTCCAGTGTATATTTATGTACATAAAAATGCCATGTGCGCGAGGGAGGCTTTTATGAGCCAGAAGAGACTCCAGGGCAATGGGATATATTTGGTGTTACTCAAGTTTTTATGAAAGTTGCACTGTTGATTTCATCAGCTACATTAAAGTGTTATTTCTTAATTTGCAGGTTCATTTGTTACCAGTTAGCGAAAACAAATATGAAAATCCCAGCTCTTGCACGTGGTGATCATGAAATAACAATAAATGCTCAACATGATTTTAGAAGTTCTACAAGTAAATTTACACTAAATGAAGAAAACGTTTGTAAGTATTTACTTCGAAGGAAATCGAATTTCAAGTAGCTCAGAACCCTGCTTTTGTTAGTATTTTGGTGCTTTCCTATGGATAGAAACTTAGTATTGTTTAAAAGTTTTTGTGAATTAAGTGAAGGTTTACAGAGCAGATCATCAGTTTTACATTCAACAAATTACACTTTGTTTACTTTCAGTGATTGCAATCCCCTCCATGTAATATTAAGTATCCCAGTTCCTCTCTGTGATTCTTGTTTCCATTCCAGCTTCTTTCCCAATCCTTCTGAACTTTGTCCTTAGGTGAATGCTGCTCTTTGGCTCTTTAATGGTTATTTTATGTTGAGGATACCTTACTAAGGTCGTTGTCCCTCTAAATACCTAAAATTGAGTCACAAGAGTGAGTTCCATTTCAGATCTGAAGGGTGATTGTGGGCTGTAGTAGCAAGTTCCTCAAGTCTCTTTCTGACCAGTCAGCCTTGTTGTCTTATTTACAGCTTGGAGTTTTGTTCCACATTTTATACCACTCTATCTAGCACTTTCTAACATGATCCCTTTCAGAACTGTTGGTAGTAGTAGCTGGGCACCATCTAATTCTGGTTTCAGGGTCACAGTGACAGATGTTCATGTGGTCCTTTAGTCCATTGAACAAATTGATTCCAAGTGTCTTCAGTTTTCATCAGTCTTCTTTCCTTTACACAAGAAAACACCATTAGATGTACCTTAGATAGCTATGCTCATGTACTTTTAAGCTCTCAGTCATTACTCACAAGAGCAGGATGCAGAACATCTTAGATTATGTTATTACAGTTGACTGTGGTGTTCCCCAAGACCTGGTTCCTGATCCCCCAGGCCCAGAAACTCATTCCCTCAAGCTGTTTGGTAATGTTTAAGAAGTTTTCATAATTTTGCCCCTGTATAATTTAGTATTCCTTTAGGATTTTAATTGTTGTACTGATTCTTTTCATCCATCAACTGTAGTATGGCTTGTATATTATAGTTAAGACCAGGAAGGAAGTAAACATGTCTTCTAGTCAGAATGGATGTCACAGAGTTCAAGATCCTTCACTCAGTTTGATATGCTTCCCTTAACCCATCTTGCCTCTGATTATTATACACCTTTCAGAGTTTCTTAGACACCCCTAGTCCATATACTTCCAAAAGATCCTTTTCTTTCCTTGATGTACCTTTAGCCGATCTGTCCTTCTCCTTTGTAGCACTTAGCACATTTGTATCAATAATTTATTGTGTAATTAGTATAGTGTAGATCTCTCTCAAGCCATGGTATTTTCAATAACCTCGTATGGATGCGAAAGCTGGATAGTGAATAAGGAAGATCGTAGAAGAAGTGATGCCTTTGAATTGTGGTGTTGGAGGAGAATACTAAAAGTGCCATGGACTGCCAAAAGAACCAATAGATCTGTTTTGGAAGAAGTGCAGCCAGAGCGCTCCTTGGAGGCCAGGATGGCTAAGCTCCGTCTCTTATACTTTGGACGTACTGTCAGGAGAGAACAGTCGCTGGAGAAGGATGTCATGCTGGGTAAGATGGAGGGTCAGAGAAAAAGAGGAAGACCCCCAACGAGATGGATCAGCCAGGTGGCATCATTGATGGCGTCAAGTGTGGCGGTGGTAGTGAGGTTGGCCCAGGATCGTTCATTGTTTCGTTCTGCTGTGCATGGGGTCGCTATGAGTTGGTTCTGACTTGGTGGCACCTGACAACAACAACAGGTCTCTCCCACAAGAATATCAGTTCCGTGAAGGAGGTACTTTGTCTTCTAAATGTAGCGCCTAGCATAGTGCCCTCAGAGTACTATACTACAGATTTGCAGATTGAATACGTAGAACATATGCTACAAGCAGATTGGAAGCACCAAATAAACCCAAGCTGACAGAGGTGGACATTTTGCTACACAGCAAGATCTTACAAACCCTACTACTCTTGACTGTTTTAATGGTGGGCCAAGCACATTTGTCAGCCCCTGACAGCTGTTAGGAGACAACATTATTGTGGTATTCGAATGACTCTCTTAAGGATGACTTTTTGAAGTAAGGGGAAGAAAATCAATGACATGGCTGTTTGTCCTGTTTCATGGATAGGGGAAGTGGTGTGTGTTTGGGTGGTCCATGTCTGCAGTGGCACAGATGGAGGCACAGTCAACAAAGCCGGCTGTCATTGGACTTTGAGCCTGTTCTATTTTTGGCAGAAGTGCGGTCACTGTGTGCAGTGCTACTGAGGACTGTCTTTTAAGATACTAATGAAAAGCTCCATGTTGTTATTTTATTTCTTTTCTATGTCTCCTTCAAGACAGAATATTTATGATTTTGAAATATTTAAGATAATGTTAATTGGGAAGTTGATTTTATATAAATCATAAACTTTGATCTCAAAAAGTTTTCCTTTTGATAATACAAGTAGTACATTCTGTGCAAAATGTTCAAATATCTAGGCAGTTATGAAGAAGCAAGATCAGCCCTAATTCCAGCACCCATTTGTTGTTGTTAGGGGCCATTGAGTTGGTACCAACTCAGCAACCCTATGCACAACAGAATGAAACATTGCCCAGTCCTGGGCCAACCTCACAATTGTTGCCACGCTTGGGCCTGTTGATGCTGCCCCTTTTCCAATCCATCTCGTTACAGGTCTTCCTCTTTTTCTCTGACCCTCCACCTTACCAAGCATATTCTTCTCCAACAACTGGTCCCTCCTGACAGTAGGTCCACAGTATGAGAGACGAAGTTTGGCCATTCTGGCTTCCAAGGAGCATTCTGGCTGCACTTCTTCCAACACAGATCTGTTGGTCCTTTTGGCAGCCCATGGTACTTTCCATATTCTCCTCCAACACCGTAAGTCAAATGCATCAATTCTTCTATGGTCTTCCTTATCCAGCACCCAGAGAGAAATATTATTAACCAGTATACTTTCTGGCCATATATCTATCAAGAGTTAATAGTGCTTTATAACTGGTGATCAGAAGACACATCAGACACATTTTCAAGTTATTATCTGTTTGTTGTTAAGTATTGTCAAGTCAGTTCCAACCCAGCAACTGTATATACGGTTTCTGAGGCTGTGAATTTTTGCCAGAGTAGAAAACCGCATCTTTCTCCTTCAGAGCAGCTAGTAGGCTCAAACTGCTGACCTTATAGTTCATTGTCCACTGCTTATCCTACAGAGCCACTATGTTGCCTTTATCTCTATAAATCTACATTATTTTAGTGATTGATGGTATTCCTCTAAATGCAGGAATCATAAGTATTCTATTATTGGCTGTGCATTTTTATTTACAGCATTTCAGTATTGTAACCAATGCTTAAATTAACATTTTTTGCAGATTTAAAAGATACAAATTCCATAATCTTTTAATTTCATTTTTCCATAAATTTTTTGAAGCCCCCTCATACTGTGAATTTGTCTGATGATTTACTTAAGTTAAATTCCTGGAATTACCATTGCTGGAATAAAGATACTCCGATTTTAAAGATTTTTAATATAAATTTCTCCAAAACTGTACTCTTTGTAATTCCACACATGGCAATTAGAGTACCTGCTTACACACATCTGTGCCAATACTATTACCCATCTCTTATTTTACCACTCCAGTCCGATTGTTGTTGTTGTTAATGTGCCATTGAGTCATTTCTGACTCATAGAAACCCTGTGTAGGGTTTCAGAGGAGCAACTAGTGGGTTTGAACTACTGACTTGATGGTTAGTAATTTAGTGTTCATCCTACAGTGCCACAAATGATGTTGTTGTTGAGTGCCGTGGAGTCAGTTCTGCCCCATAGCAACCCTGTGTAGGGTTTCCAAGGAGCAACTGGTGAGCTTGAACTATCGACCTTGCAGTTCAAACTGACTAGGCAGTCCAGCACATTAACCTGCAGCAGCACACCAGGACTCCTGTTGTTTTTGCATGTCTTAAAAAAAAAAAAAAGTTGTATATTTTTTGACTGTGTATTCATGCAGTGTTGTGGGCTAAATGTTGGTGTCAACCGCAAGGTAAGCAGTTCAAACCCACCAGGTGCCCTGCTGAAGACAGACTGGTCCTGTAAAGATTTACAGTCTTGGGCACCTTAAGGGGCAGTTCTTCTCCAACTTACAGGTTGCTATGAGTCAGAACCGACTTGATGGTAGTGAGTTGTTTTTGTTTGTTTATATATTCATGTCCTTTGTAATATTTCTCTTGTTTAAGGCAGCTGTTTTTGGTTTTTTTTTGTTGTTTTTTTTTTTACCATTTTGAACCAGATAATCAACACTATTTGCTTCTATTCCCTCTGTTTTTTTTTTTTCGGAGGGGGTGTGTTCACCAAAACACTCAGGAATATATAATCATTTACACAACCAAATGGCACATTCTGTAAGCCTGCCTCCTGGTCGCCAGCTCTCAGTTCCTCTCTTTCCATGAGTCTAGAGTCCTCAGCTGCTCTTTCTTTCCATGTTCTCATCTCTGTCTCGTATCTCTGGTGTCGCTGTTTCTCTGGATAGGGTCCTGCATTCCACTTGTACTCTTCTCCTTTGAAGGTCCTAGAGTCCTCTATTCCTAGAAAGTTAGAATAACCAGTCTCCCGTTTTTCTTACAAAATTTCTGCCTTTATAGTTGTGACAATTGCAATTAGTCATGATAACAGTCAGTATTGAAACATAAGAATCTTATCCCCATTTCTTTTCACCAAACCCATCTAGACAATGTGAAAACTAATCATTGGGGACTTTACCTTTCCCTACACACTCTGAAACTACAATTCCTCTTGAAAACTCATAAGCCAGTCACTTCGTGCCTGTATCGCCCCCTCATTTTAGGTAGCCAATGTCTAAGTTGCCCGTCCCTATCTATTTACTCTGTATACACAGGGGATAGCATTGGTAATTGATGTGAAGATGCCTTATCTCTCAGTTGGTATTTTGAGCTACTACCGTAGTGGTTACAAATTGGGCTGCTAACTTCAAGGTCAGCAGTTTGAAACTACCAGCTGTTCCATGGGAGAAAGAGGAGGCTTTCTGCGCCCGTAAATATTTA